TTTTTCCGTAAGAGAATCCACAGAAGATCGCTCGCGTACATGTATCTATGTCAATTATCGCAAGAGCATTCGGTACTTTGGCAAATGTTTTTCTGTTAAGCATCCAGGTTGCGGGGACACCCATCTTTGACGTAACCTGCATTCAAGCGATGACCGTGCCTTAAGCTTAAATCTGACTCCAGTTACCTTTTTATTTTCTTTATCCTTTTCGTGCTGCTTTTTAATGACTCCAAGAATGTAAATTCGGGGAATTTGTAGACATTCTCCAGATTAAATTGCACGTCCACATGGCTCTCGCTCCCCCGTCAGATATCTCCATATTTATACTCCAGGCATTTTGGGCCTCAGGAACCACTAGGCCTCAGTAACCATACGCCCAGACAGCTACTCCGGGTCATATTGCGACGGTCGCCTTAAACCGCCCTTGGATCTTATCCCGTTAAAAATCGTCCGAATTTAATTCTAGCTACCAAGATATCAAAGACTCAACTCCATTGTTGGGCTGATAGGAGGTTCCCTGTAAACCATCAGTTCTGCGTGCATTATGACGACGTTTCGCATTCACTTGCTTAACTGTATTTTAGCTTCATATTATGCTCACCCTCAGCAAAATCCGCTGAATCACGTACATTCCGCAAGTCGTTATCTTTCCTTTACACCCACTTTTACTGAGAGGGTGTTTCACGAACACTCTCTCACTTTAATTTCAGGAGTTAATTAACTGCTTCGATCTTGCATATATTATTTTTCCTAAAAACGTTTGCCATTCAAGGGGAACACGTGCAAAATCCTACGAATCGATCGACCCAGCTCTCAGCATCCCATGGTGTAATGTTAGAATGGCCTACCACTGCGAGAATTGGAGGTGATAGAGGGCTTGAGAATATGGATAATAGTTTCGCTTAAAGTAGCAAAGCCTGTGATGTCACCCATGTACCAAATGGGCTTATTCTGCCCTCGACAGAGACTGTTTTGTTAAAATCTTCGCAAAATTTTTGCGGTCGAAACTGGAGATCGTTATCCAAGCTTGGAAACTCAAGACTCCGAAGGATCGCAACATTCTTGGAGCGTGTCAAAGGCGTGCAACCAAACTTGTGACCGGATAATGCTCATTACATTGATGAGGAAGAAGAGTCGAGCACAAATCTTTACCCTATGAAACACGCTTGTCTAATCTTTATCTATATCCTTTGACGTACAGGCAACTACCAGATGACCTGATACAAATACTCCATATTAGGCGCGCTCAAGACTGATGCCTTGTATGTACCTAGTGATTTCTTCGAGTTGGCAACAATCACGAACTTGAGAAATCATCCATCCAAACTTGGTGTGACTGGGGCAAAAATGTCTTCTTCTGCAACCGCGTGATCGAAGCTGGGAATTGTCTTCCTCTTTATGTTGGTAAACCTGCTTCCGTTAAAGTATTAAATAGAAGCCTGACCGGTATAGCGTTGTCAACTACAAAACCCGGTCTTTGTAGACTTGACACAAGAGAAAACAAATGAAGAAAGACAGTTGGTGAGCATATGTAGGCATCCAATAAATGCTCATCGGACCAGTTCATTCATATATCGGTTACAGCTTTGCCATCACCCTCAACAGAATCTGATGCATATATACCTTATATACTCTAAATCAAGCACATACTTCCATTAAGTTCACGTTGGATGTGCAAAAGGTAGGTTCGCGTCCTTTCTTGGAAGTTCACGTAGGTCGATAACCTGGTGGTAGTGTCCGAGTCGGTGTGAATCGAAATAAAAGACGACTGGTTGCGAGTATAAAGGGTTTGATGGAGTCGGTCCAGGGAAGAGCGCGGAGAATAGCATGTAATTCAGCGACCGTTGTCTTTACTAGACACAGAGTTTGCATGAGTTTATTTGTACCCACAAGAGCATCTTCCTCAATTGGACAATGACCGCTTCTCTGTGGCTGTAAACATATTAA